CACACACACACACACACACACACACATCGCAGATCCAGAGGGTCCCCCCACACACACACAACTCCGTTTTTTGCAACGAGGCAGCCGGCCCTGCCTTCATCCCAGACGCCCGGCTCTCCCCGGAGCCCCTCCCTCTGTTCCCTCCACAAATTGGACGGTGTGCGTGTGTGTGTGTGTGTGAGAGAGAGAGAGAGAGAAAGAAAGTTTCGGGAAGGCCCGCTTTGTCCAGCCGATGAAGTGTATTGAACTGGGCTGTAACTCCACGAGAAACATTTTGGTTTAAAGTTTTTTGTTTCTGTTTTCAAAGTTCCGGAGTGGGAGAAACCATCCTGAGCTCTGCGTGGATCCGTGACTCCAGGTGCGAAAGAAGCTTTGAGGGTGGGAAGGAGGAAAATCCGGTTTCTTCCGAAGCCATGAGGACTAGAAACTTATAAAACACACACACACGCACAAGCACATTCCCCGGGTTGGCGGAACCACCCGCGTTGGGTGGGAGGGGGGCAGAGGGCGCACAAATTCGTCTCGGGTTTCATTCCCTCCCCGGCTTGGCAAAACACCAACCTATTTCTTTCTTTCTTTCTTTCTTTCTTTCTTTCTTTCTTTTTTTCCCTTCATTTCCACTGTCTGGGAAGTCTCTTTGGATAAAAAAAAAAGGCACCTCCGGGTCTCCAGCAGCACCGGGTCGCAAGCCAGGGGGGAGGGGGCGCCACGTTGCAATAGGAAGGGGCTTCTGCGCCCCCCCCATCTCCCCCCCCCCAAAAAAAGTCTCTTTACTCCAGCAAGCAAGTTCTGAGTCGGTTTTGGGGCTCACCCCGAGCCTGGGGTGCGGTGCGGTGGGGGAGGGAAACCAGCCCCGGGCGCCCCTCCAGCTGGGTCTCTCTGCATCCTGGCAGGCTGTCCCAGATGCGGCAAAGGGGAGGGGGGGAACCCTCACTGGCATTTGCAGGGTTTGGGGTCCTTGTGTGCCCACCTGGCTCGGGAGCAAGCAAGGCCATCTAGCCTTCCTCCCCCACCCGCCTTTACCCCCACCCCCCGGGGCTGCGGCTCCGGGGTTCAAACACTGGTCCGGCAAGTGGCCGGTTGGCAAGGTCGGTTGGCCGAGGCGGGCGGGGCGGTTTTCTCCGACGGGTTGACCACCCAGCGGTAACACTGGGTGACGCTCCTACTTTTGGCCTGAGCTCCGCAGCGGGTACAGTAAACGATGCCCAGAGCCAACATGATCACCAGGAAGACCGAAATGGGCACCAACAAAGCCACCAAGAGCCAGCGGTCGTCCTTCCTCTGCCGTCCCTCCCCAGAAGAAGCCGGGCTGGGGGGAGGAGAGGTGGGGAGGGCCGCCCTGACTCCCCCGACGACGGGGTCCCCCTTCTCATCCGAAGGGGAGGGAGACGGGGGAGTCGGAAGGTCCGCGGGGTCATCCGGAGTGGGCGTGACCGCAGGAGACGTCGGAGGGAGAGGAGGAGGAGGAGGATCGGAAGCCGCGGGGGTGGGATGGAGGACCTCGGGGTGCCCCGGAGGGGAGAACCCGTGCTCCAGGGGAGAAAAGTGGCCGTCCCACGCGACGTCGAACTCGGGGGCCTCCGTGGACGGTACCGGAGGAGGGAAGACCAGCCGGTCGGGCACCGACAAGAACGAAGCGGCCGAATCCGACGAGGAGCCGGCCTCCCCGTCGCGGAAAAGCGAGAAGCGGACCGCCGGCGGTGGCTGGGGCGGCTGGGCGCTCAGGTCGTCCGCCTCCCGGGTGGTGAAGCGCACGTGGAAAGCAGGGTCGTCGGGCCAGGCCTCGGGCGGGGTGGCGTCGGGCCCGTCCAGCCCCTCCACGGGGCTGCAGCTGATGCCGTCGGCTTCCAGGTCGAAGCCCTCGGTGCAGTAACACTCGAAGCCGCCCACGTAGTTCACGCACATCTGCTGGCAGACGCCCGGGATCTGGCACTCGTCGGTGTCCACGCACTGGCCGGGCTCGTCCTCGGCGGGGCTGAAGCCCAGGTGGCAGCGGCAGAGGAAGGAGCCCTCCGTGTTCTCGCACTGGTGCTCGCACGGCGCTTCCAGGCACTCGTCCAAATCCTCGCACTGGTGCCCGTCGGAAGCCAGCTCGTAGCCGGCGGGGCAGCGGCACCTGTAGCCGTCGCCGCTCTCCTCCTCCTCCTCGGCCACGCAGTCGAACTGGCAGGGCCGGTGGCGGCAGGGGTCGTGGGCAGCGCAGGAGTGGCCGTCGGGGAGCAGCAGGTAGCCGGCATGGCACTCGCAGGCGTAGCCCGAGCCCTCGTCCACGCACAGCTGCTGGCAGCCGCCGTTGTCTCCCTCGCACCAGCTGGCCGCCGAAGCCGAGGCCGCCGCGGAGGAGGAGGAGGAGGAGGAAGAAGAGGAGGAAGAGGAGGAGGAGGCGCCGCCGGACGGGTCCCGGCACAGCGGAGGGTTCTTGGACCAGCCCACGCGCCCGTCCTCCTTCTGCAGGCACAGCAGGGACAGCAGAGAGGAGCCGCCCGGGCAGCCCACGGAGGCCACGGTCCCGAAGGGCAGGAAACGCGGGGGAGCCCCGACGGCGGAGGCAGAGGCGGCCAGCTGCCCGAAGGGAGCCTCGTAGGCCACGCTGGCCCCTTCTTCGACGGCCTCCAAGCCGGCGCACATCCCTCGGAAGCCGAAGCGGCAGAGGTAGCCGTCCACGGGCCCCGCGCAGGAGCCTTCCAGCCACTGGAAGTCGCGGTCGTCCAAGGCCACGCAGCGCGGCGCGGCGCAGCCGGCGGCTCCCGCAGCCGCCCCGACGGCGCGGGCCCAGTTGCTGTAAGCCGTCTCTTGCTCGCCGGTGACCCAGCTGAAGCCGCGCAGGGGCCGCTGCGGGAAACACTGCCGCGGCTGGCGCTGCAGCCCGATCCAGAAGAGACGGGGCGGGCCGGGCTGGCGGCTGCCGGCCAGCAGCTGGCTCACCTGGGCCGCTTCCTCGGCTCGTTTCAGCGTGGCCAGGTTGCCCCCTTGCTCCCGGCAAGCCCGCCAGGCCTCGAGGAAGCTGCGCGGCTGGGAGTAGAGCGCGTAACAGCCGTCCGGATCGCAACTGGCTTCAGGATCCGGCCGGCCGGGCAGCGGCAGCTGGAAGAGCAGCAACAGCAGCAGCAGCAGCAGCAGCCCGGCCGGGCCGAGCGGCAGCCGAGGGGCGAGCATGGTTGTGCTTGCGCGGTGGGCCTCCGGCGCTCTGACAAACCCACCGCCCGCCCCCAGCCATCCCCGGCCTTCTTCCCCCTCCCCGTCCGGGGAGGAGGCGCTCCGCTTCCCCGATCCCCGCCTCCGGACCTTGTAGGGCGCGGATCTGAACTCCAGACACGCAGGGAGGGGAGGGAGGGAAGGGAAAGGCAAAGCAAGGCGGGAGAGGGCCCGCCCGCTGCCTGCTTCCCCCCGCCCCCGCCCCCCCACACTCGAGGGTCGTGGAAGCGTCTATTCACAGAATAACAGAGTTGGAAGGGACCCTGGAGGCCATCTAGTCCAACCCCCTGCTCGAGCAGGAGAGTCTATTCCAAATATTAGCCTCTACCTAGGATCGAACTCGCAGCCTCCTGATTGCTCCACCTCTAGACCACCGGAGCTGTCTGCCGGGCCTTTGTTGGTCTAACCACTAGAAGGCGCTGTCGCTGGGAGCTGGAGGGGCTTCTCCCCGCTCCCTTTCAGCCCCTGCCGCGGGATGGCAGGTGGGCTTGATGGGAGAAAGTGGGGAGGGGTCTGGGCTTCTGAAACTGATGTTGAGGGGCTTCCCCAAAGGAGAGGGGGGGGGGGGGGGAGAGAGGTGGGGCTTCAACCTGTTCTCAGTCCGGAGCATCTGAAGGCAGGAAGAGAAGCAACGGATGGAAAACTAACCTGGAATTGAGGAGAAGCTTCCTAACAGGGAAGACAGTTAGCCAGTGGAACTGCTTGCCACTAGAAGTTGCGGTTAGTCCATCACAGGGCAGCCTCTTGTCTGGAATGGTATATGTCTCCTGGCTAAGCAGGGGGCTGGACTAGAAGACCTCCAAGGTACCTTCCAACTCTGTTATTCTGTATTCTGAGCAAGGGGCTGGACTAGAGGATCTCCAGGGTCCCTTCAAATTCTATTCTACCCTATTCTATTCTATTCTGTTCTGTTCCTAAATCTGTCCTGTTCTGTTCCCAGCCAGCAGGATCCAAAGATGCCATGCTGGTTGTAGTTCCTCGCCAACAGAAGGGCGACCCAACTTACGACCAAAATCTTTCTTGATTCATCCGTTCTTTGGTTCCAAACAACATTCCCAGCATAGCCGGAAATTAAGGAGAAACTTCCTAATAGTGAGGACAATTAACCAGTGGAACAACTTGCCACTAGAAGTTGTAGGTGCTCCATCACTGGAGGTTTTTAAGAAGAGACTGGACTTATCCGGAATGGTCTAGATATAGGGTCTCCTGCCTGAGCGCCGGGTTGGACTAGAAGACCTCCAAGGTCCCTTTCAACTCTTGTTATTCTGTATTCTTATTTTTTTTGAGTCAAGTTTGTTTTAATTTATATATAAGTAGTTTGAATATAGTTTAAGTATATGGGCAAACATATAATTATAGACAACATTCATGTTTTCTGTTATTCTGAGTAGGGGGCTGGACTAGAGAACCTCCAAGGCCCCTTCCAACTCCATTATTCTGTGTTCTGTGTGGAGTTTACTGTCCCCCCACTTTGAAAGTGTGCTGGCTGGGGGATTCTGGGAGTGGAAATCCACCCATCATAAAACATGCTGGCTGGGGCATTCTGGCAAGTTGAAGTCCATGCATCTTAAAGTGGTCACGATTGAAAAAAAAAAAAAAAACTAAAGGAAACCTCGCAAAACTAACTTCACACCAAGCTGTGGTTGCACTTCATCCCTGCCAGAATTCCTCTCTGCTACAAGCTACAAATCCTCTTGCACTTCGCAAATCCCATCAGCTGTGCCTGGTATCTGGCTCGGGGCCGTCATAGCTCTGCGTTCGTGCCATGTCAATCATACCTGGGCATCGGTTCTGGTCACAGTGACCAAAAACAGTGGAGGAAACCCAGGCCCTCCATCTGAAAGAGTGACCGATTCTTTCAACACAAACACATACACACACACACACACACACACACACACACACACAAACACACGCTTTGCAATTTGCTTTGGCAAGCTCTGACGCCAGGAACCCCAATTGGCTCAAGTCCCTGCATCCAACCCCAATGCGCCTAGGTAAGGATAAACCGTTTCTTGCATAGAACTCGGATTTGGAGACGCATCCATGTATATATATATATTTTGGCCGGGTTGGGGAAATTGGTTTGGGTCCCTGCCAAACAGACCAGATTTCACTTGGATTTAAACTGCACTACACAGTCACCAAGGGCCCTGGAAGCAGGATGGGTGGGCCTTCCCAAAGACAGCAGAATTAAGCAACAAAGCCGCTTCCCTCCTAAAGCACACATCTAATTTCGGGGCAATTAATCCAGGATTAAGCTAGACTGGGAAACTGTCTCTGTTTTGATCTAATGCCCACTGTATTTTATCCTAAACTTTTCTTGCCATGACAAGATCATGCCTTCCCACCTATTCCTGCTTAATTATTATTTTATTTTAATGGCACGGGTGCCAAGGAAGATAGGGAAGGACAGAGAAAAACATGGATTCAAAGAAATTGGAAGGGAATTCTCCAGCTTACTGGAGATGAAGTA